AAATTGCAGAACCAGTTCTGTTCCCATTTGTATCCCCCGCCCAAAATGATAATAATAATAATTATTATTATAATAGCAATGATAATAGTAATATTAGTAATAATAGTAATGATAAAATAATAATAATAATAATAGTAATTTAATAATCCCAGAGCACATGTAGGAATGCTTTAGGCTTGAACAGGAATTAACCCACCAAGTATGAGATAGCAACTCACTTACCATTCAAAAGAATGCTCTCTTCTGACTACCTTCCTCTATTGATTGTTGTGCACTTTACTTTCCTTCTCCCCCCCAATTGTTCTCAATAAGTAGTACTCCGTCGTCTTATATTTTAAACCCTATAACCTCTACTATAACAGATTACAATAGTAATAATTGTGGATATTATTAATGTTCTTGTTCTTTTTGTAATTGTTATTATTTTTATTATTAATACTACCATTATTATAGTTATTCTTATTATTAATATTATTTCAAACTTGCTATGTTATTTTCTAAGCAGGGAAATTCTGGGGGCAGTTCTGATGGCGGAAACAAAAAATCAAAATATGTGAATGACATAATCATAAAACCAGCTGATCGTCACAATCTCTTGCGTCCTGAAACTGTTGAATCATTGATGATATTGTATCGCATCACAGAAGATCCCAAGTATGCCCTGTTATTTATCTCCATGCTTATTAATCTCTTTATTAGAGGGTATGTTTGGATCCCGGAAAATGCTAGTGAAAGGAAAAGAAATAGATGGTGCACAAGTAAAAGGGGCAGCGCAGTGCCCATTGGCATCCCCGCAAGGCAAGGGTCTGGGGAAGGGTCCCGCCACTATAAGGGGAAAACCTTCTCTTGTCATATTGACAGGGGAACACTCCCAAGACTTGAACCTGTGATTTCTCGATCATACAGCATCTCTGTAACCGTTTTATGATTGGTTTTACCTATAAATACTAAAATAAGTATCAACGAATATCCCACATAAGTTCGTTGTATTTTAGTTTTTTTTTTATTTCCCTTGGATTTTCCGGGTTCCTATCGGACCCCGTTGATATTTGCTTATATGGTTGTGTGTCCTGCAAAAGAGTTGATAGTTTTGTCAAAATGTGTAATCACCTCTGCAGATACCGCGACTGGGGCTGGGAAATATTTGAAGCCTTTGAGAAGCACACAAAACTTGATTCTGGAGGTTACACTTCTCTTGATGATGTCACCATAATTCCACCCCGGAGAAGAGACAAGATGGAAACATTTTTCCTCGGCGAAACCCTAAAATACCTATACTTGCTGTTCGGGAACAGCGATGTTGTCCCCTTGGATCAGTTTGTATTTAACACAGAAGCACATCCCATTCCCATCAAAGGAAATCCCCTATCATGAATTCATGATTCATGAGTGGATGGAATCGTTTTTTTCTTCCTTTGGTGATTAAATATGTATTTTAGTCATACTGATGTGTGTACTATAGATGTACTATATTTTTGTTCCTTGTAATTGCTGGACTTTTCAAAGGTTTATACTTCTGTACCAAAATTTGAAACACTAATGTAATTTGATAGATTCTCTTCCAAGTAAACAAGGAGACATTCAAGCCTTTTAGGCTTTTAGCCAATGGTCATGTTCATCGGTGTTTAACATATGCTTTCGTGAAAGAACACAGAATAGAATAGTTTCGTGGAAATATTTATAAGAAAACAGAATAGAACAATTTAAAATGTCTTGTATAATCAAAAGATGATTAATCATCTCACATTCATTGTTCAATCAAGGAAAATTGGTTTAAATAAGAGGGGTTTCCTTAGGCATGGACCGGTTTGGGCCTGGGCCTGGCCGGGCCTCGGTTCAAGAAGGGGAGGCCCGGAACCGGCCCGGGTAACCCCCGGGTCCGGGCTGGGCCGGGCCTCGGGTATATTTTTTTTTGGGGGCTTTTCCTAGTTAACCCCCACCCCTCCCCCTCACCCCCAAACCAACCCTAACCACCTCAAATGGCCCAAAATACCTAGCCCAACCCAAAAACTCAAAAAAAAATTCAAAAAAAAAAATTAAAATTGGCCCGGGCCGGTTCACCTTTTGAAGGGCTCGAACCGAGAATCCACCGGGCCGGGTGGCCCGAACTGGCCAACCAACCGGTTCCTGGGCCGGTTGGCCCGGCCCGAGTCCACCCCTAGGTTTCCTTCAAAATTATTAAGATCAAACTTGTTAATAAAAACATGACTAAATTTGCTATGAATATGCCTTCGAGATCACTGGTGTAAAATTGGACAAGTGAAGTAGTCATTGTAATTGTTACTACAATTGAACATAATTACATAAATGATTGTGATTATTTAAAGAAGTAATGAGGATTATATGACTGAAATAATGATAATAAACAAATAATGATAATAAACAAAGCTGTGAATTTTTTATATTAAGTGAGTCAGTGAGTGTACGATATTTCAAGCAATATGTGTAGGGTTGGGCTCGGTTCGGGTCCCGAACCAATCCTGAGAAACTTAGAACCGAACCGACAAATCGATTATCCAAATTACCCTAACCGAAACCGAACCACTAGTGGAACGGGTACCGATTTATCGACCCTATACACCTTGCATGAAGGATTTTGAGCCCATTAAGGATCACTTAACTAATTTTGAGCCCATTAAAGGACCACTTAACTACTCAATATGAGTAATAGGTAACCTACTCGGTCACATTCTTGCTTGTGGGCTATCCCTCATATATAGAATTCTTTGGGGGAATATTCTACTCTTTTTTCCGGTGTTGGATAAAGTAGGATGGGAGGGAAAGTGAGACTTAAAAGTTAAAACTAAAATCATACTACGTAAAAATTAAACAATCAGGCGTGGGTGGGAACCAAACTACCGACATACAACAGTCTCTAGCCATGGACCAGTTCCAGGCCGGGCCAGGCTCCTGGACGGTCCTAGGCGGGGTTTTTATTGTTGGGGGAAGGCCCGGAACCGGTCCGGGTTTCCACCGGGTCCGAGCTGGGCCGCACCAGTCTCAGACCGGTCCTTTTTTTGCTTTTCTAATTAACCCTCGACCCCCCCCCCCTCACCCCCCCCCCCCCAAAACACCCTGCCCATCTAGGGAAAAAAATTGAAAAAACAAAAAAATAAAAGAAAAGGCCCGAACCGGGCCCGACTAGTTCCAAAGGAAGGGCAGTCCGGAACCGCCCCGCCCTAAGTCCCCGGGCCGATCCTAGGCCCGAAACCGGTACCCGACTTCCTGGCCGGGCCGAGCCCGCACAATAGCGGGCCAATCCGGTTCATGGACCGGTCGGCCCGGTACCGGTCCAACACTAGCAGCCTCACGAAGACACGAAGTATTCGACCCCTGTACCAACGCTTCCAATATGTTCGAAAGTCACTCCGATCACTATTATATCTTCTATAAACGTCATTAAATATGGTTATTAATAATTATAAAAATTATTTTTAATAATAAAAAAAGTCGGTTTTGATCGATCCAAAAACCGATATTTTGTATATATAAACCGATTCCGAACCAATTATTTTCGGGTCCCAGTTTTCGGTTTCCAAAATTTATCGGTTCGATCAGGTTCATTTTTTTTAATGCGATTCGGTTATTTTTTATTCGGTTTTCGATTTTTCGATTCAAAATGTCAACCCTAAATAAAATATGGGTACTGTCGTGAAAAATATATGGGTACTACACTACTACGTAGAGTGGATAACAATATCTAATAGAATGATAAAAGAAATTGTCATGCAACTATGCAAGAGCTATTTTTGAAGTGACAGGACACAGGGTCAACAAAGTTGTCTTCAAAATTTGTCTATTTGCCATAATAAAGCTATTAAATATGACATGTCCATTTATACAAATCGAAATTATTTAATTCCCTTAAGGAAGGTACTTATAAATTGTAAGGTACTACATATTAGGGATGGACCGGGCCTGAGTTTTTGGGTTGCAGGCCCGGTACCTGCCCGAGACCGAGTCTGGTCTAGTTTTTATTTTTTAAATTTGTTTTTCTAATTTATTCCTACCCCACCCCCAAAACCTCCTCCCAAACCACTCAACCCTACCCGCCAAGCAGCCCTTAAAATGAAAAAAAAAATGAGCCCAGACCAGCAGGGCCGGTCCATCTTTTTATCAGCCCGTAGCCCACCCCTCTATCCCCGGTTCAGGCCCCCAATCCCGGTCGGCTGGGACAGTCCAGTCCGGTCCCGCACAGTAGTGGGCCGGGCCAGGTACCGGGCCGGTCCAAACCAGCCCAGTCCATGCCTACTGCATATTGCAATATGCAAAATCTCTTTATTGATTCAACTACTATAGTCAAACCAATTATTAATGTTTAATAGAAAATCTGATCAATAAATAAGAAGCAAAAGAAAATCAGATTTAAAAACGGAGCCTTGTATTCGTCTAAAAGAACCAGCACATGTAGGGATGGACTCGGGCCGGGTGGCCCGACCCGGAACCGGCCCGGGACCAGCACTGTTCCGGCCCGGCCCGACCCGTGGGTTTTCCGGTCCGGGCTCGGGTCACCCAATACAAGGCCCGACCCGGCCGGGCCCGGTTCGGGCCAATTTTTTTTTGTTTTTTTTTGTTTTTTCAATTTTTTTTAACTTTTCGAGTTGGGCTGGGTATTTTGGGCCATTTGGGGTGGTTTGGGGGGTTGGGGGTGGGAGGGGGGTTAATTAGGAAGAGGAAAACAAAAAAAAAATATATAATGGGTTTGGCCCGGCCCGGACCCGGACCGGACCCGGTGGTTACCCGGGCCGGTCCCGGGTCCACCATTTCTGACCCGCCGGCCCGCCCGGGCCTAGGCCCGACCCGGACCCGGCCCGGACCCGAGTCCAACCCTAAGCACATGATCGTTCTGCGGGGAACATCTGATTTTCTTTTGAAATATAGCAACATTTCGTGTTAAAAAATCATGTATTAGTTTGTCTTTAAAAATAAATGTCGGTCCAGAGTCCAGACTCCAGAAGTCCAGAGTAGATTGGTCACACTGGACTGTTAATCTTACTCTATAAGTCTATAACTATTTTTCCAATACCAATGCTTAAATATTAAATCTCATGGAGTAATACTTCTATAATATCATCCAAAAATTGAAAATGAGTGATTCATTCAAGAACAGATTATCTAAGATTGCTTTTTTGTTCCATAAAACTAAAACCACAATAAACTCCCACACTGAGGCTCCACAAACTTTTGAAATTCTCAAAAACGAACACAGGTTATACCACTTTGCACCATTGACAGACATCACATTTATGTACATTAAGCTTTGACCTTTCCTGCCTGGGAGGATTGAATTCTCTGTTGTAATTTAAAGATCTGCAGGGAACAAACATTTCCAAATGCGTCATTATTTGTTTCAATGGCTACTCTTTATGCTATCGAGTACACAACGGATAAATGACACAAAATCACTGCATGTAGTTTATGCTATTAAGGTCATTTCAAAATCACTGCATGTAATTAATGCTACCCCTTATAAGTCTCTTTAGCATGGACAGTATCTATATTCTTGATAAATCATTTACTTTAGATGTAAGACATGAAACATAAATATAAAAGTTACCATTTCTTTCTTGCTGTGCTGCTTTTCATCTAAATCTTGAAGAGTGGCATCCAAACGCTTCCTGTTAGAAAAACTAGAACAATTACTGAAACTACACATGATCTTCTAATGCTTCATCAGGATGAAAGCTAAAAAGCTCAGATGTAAATAAATGTTTAACAACTTTTTAATATACAAGGTATAATTAATAGTCCCTGTATGATGTTCATTTGTTCAGTATAGTCCTTCCATCATGAGGTTGGTAAACTTATTCCATGTACTACTAAAATAAAAATGTAAACATGACCATTAAGAACCGTCATTAAGCCTGCTTACATTTCTAGTTTATAGTTTCATACTTTCACGTAGTTGTAAATAAATGGGTATAGTCAACAAACTCAATAGCATAGGGACTAAATAAAACAATAAATATACTAATATAGGGGCTAATCATAATAATGTAGCACTGAAATGAACTATAAAACCAGCACATAATGCAATAATCAAGACATGTCGTATAATTGTGTATATAAAACACCAGAAAAAAATACTTGTCACTATCCTATATCTGGTAGGTGTGGACCTGATCCTGGTTCCGAAACTAGACCAGGACCGGACTGATAAAAACTGGACTGGCAGCCCACCTTTACAGTTCCGGTACCTCCAAAATAGCTCAAACATGTTCTCTATTGGACATGATTAAACTGGTCGTGGTTACGGGTAAGGTCTCCATTGGACAAGAACCGGCTATTCAGGAACTGAACCGGCTCCGCTCTACTATCAGGGGAAAATTATATCATACATGTGGACCCTTACAAGGCTAGTATATAGAGGTGGACCCGGTTCCAATTCCAAAACCAAACTGGGACATGACATCTAAAAAACCAGCCTGACAGTCCACTTTTACAGTTCCATTACCTCTGTGATATTCCCAGACCAGTTCCTGTTCCTGTTTTTTCATTTTTCCAAAAAGCTAAAAACTGGTCTGACACCGGGCCGGGTCCACCCAAACATCTGGGGAAAATTATATCATCTATCTGGATGCAATTTTCCATGCTAGTTTTTTTTTGTTTTTTTGGTGTGAACTACTCATTTAGCATCCGAAAGAATGAGCAATTGAATATATAAATATAACTCATTTTATATCTGAAGAAGGCTCAATAGGATGTACAATGTGCACGGTACATCTAGATACAATATAGAACTACTCAATGTTTTATTCATTATTATCAGAACAATAATCAACCTCAGAATAGAGTAAGCTTACTCCTTATCACTTTATCAGGCTTAAACAGAACCAGTTAGACCACCTAATAGATATCATAAACACAGTCTACCACAAACAAATTTGTATCCAAACCTACGCCTCTATGATTTATTTATGTATTTATTTTACTCCCATTTAGGTTTGAGGTTGTAGCACAGTATTCTGGTCTACAGGTATAATGTTTCAAGTACGCTGTGTTAGGTCAAACATTAATGGGCTGTTTGGTTGCAAGAGTAAAAATTCGCAGGATACATTTTTCCAGCATAACTCCAAGTAGCGGTTTGTCTGGATTTTTTTCCCCATTGCAATAAGTATTTTACCCTAACTTTGTGGAAAGGAATTGCCACTCCCCCAGAAGGAATTGTCATTCTGTATGAGTACGGAGAAAAAAGAGTAATCTATGTCTGTTTGGCAGTTTGACGCCCATAAAAACCAAAGCTACACCAATGGTTGCAATTATATGTGCACCAATCCCAAATGCGCAGTTTCTTTATCAGAGCCATTTTAGTTGTTATGTTAAATATTCACATATTTTTCCAAAGCAAACAAAAATGTTAATATCTCTATTTGGTTCAATGGTTCTATTCCCACAACTCAAAATATGGTAATTGAAATACTCTTCAGTCCCTACTCCCTACATGTTCTTCTCCCACTGAGGCACTAAATTTATAGTCAATTCCACCTATATTCCACCTGAGCACGCAGGGATCAGGGCTCAGATGGGAGGAAATGAATAAGCCAACAATCTGTTTTTATGCACTGTAAGGATGTTTTTAATTGGAGGAAAATTTTCTGGTTTGGTCTAGTGTGATAAATGTATGGTGTATTTGTATTTTACAAGTATCGAAGTTTGGTCTGGTCCGGTCTTAGACTAAAACCAGTCCAACTAATAGGTATGTGTGTCCCTTCACCACAGCATGCAAGCAACGGGTAGCCAAGTACAAAATTATATTGAGTATCATGACATGCCCAAAAAGGGAAAAACGGATCCAAAATTTAGAATTTACTCCAACTACCCATCCTTGAATCACACAGTCAGCCTAAAAATTGACCAATCTAAAACTCACCAAGCTTTACAAGAAGGCAGTGAGCACAAATCCCCCCCCCCCTAACCCTCAAACATGGCCACCCCTTCACTTATCTGTAATAATAGTTTCTACCTCTCAATTTGTACAAAGCTGGGTTCGAAATACAATATGCACATAAGATATCACAAAAAGGATGGGAGAATGTGGCTTATGTGCCTTTCCCTAAGGATAGGCATTTGGTCCTGGCCATTCAACGTAAGTTCAGACAGTCCTCTTTTGGTGGTGGAGTTTAAGTGTGGGGACCAAACATGGGGTAGGAATACTCAGGGAAGGTTCGATCGGAGCTGATCGAACGTCCCAAACAGACAATGGTGCCTGCCTATGTTTGGAGAAACGCGTAGCTAAGGGAAAAGGCACTTACACAGCAGTTCAAGATCAATATGTTTAATACTCCATATACTACAAGAACCAGACATAAATGAATTAGCATACAATTCCGCTGAGATGTAATCAATTCGCTTCTTGACATTGGCGCTAGCCTCTGCCAGGTCCTGCTTCACCAGAACTGGCCCAATCAGTTTGTACACATTGGCGTCTTCATTCAAGAGATCCAATTCCTAAGTTGGCAAATTTAACACATGAATAAAATCTATAAGCAATAGTCTCCAGAGAAGTAAAAATACATAGAGTACATTAAGATTTGACCTTGAGGACAAGCTCATTTTCACCGAGTTGAATTGTGTATTTCTTTCGGACTTGATGGTTCTTGGCTATATCTGAAAGACAGAGCGCATAATTGATTATGCATATACAGAGACCAAGGCTAAGAATAGGGTTTACTTGAATGGAAGGATAATGTTGCCTTTTTGAAGTTGGCTTAGATCGTTCGCTTTGCTCTCGAGGTCGCGTTGCATTTCCCGCAGAACATTTGAGGAGGATGCCATCGCTGCTTCTCACTGACCACAACAGACACGCAGTGCTTGATATTTGCCAAGAGAGTAAGGATGTTTTCGGTTCACCCAATTATATATACTTTCTCCCTTTCTTATTAGTAAAAAATTTGAAAAAATTAAATTTTGAAAATTTAAAATGAGAGGAATTTAATAATATGTTTTTTAAAATTTAATTTATATTACATTAATATATAAAATAGAGCCAAAATAAAACATGTGAATAGTGCAAAAAATTCAATGTTGTCGAGGTACTCGCCTCCCCTGAAGAATGAGTCCTCGAATCCGAATCAGAAGAGGAACTAGTAGACGAACCAGAACCAGAACTCGAGCTTGAAGATATTTCAATCGAGCACGCCATGGGAAGAGTTAAAGTAAAAGAGAGAAGAAATCGAGGTTCAAAATTACCTTACAAACTTGAAAGTTCGCGAACCGGAAGACGAAGAACAGCGGTAGCTTGAGAGTACAAGAAAGCAGAAGCGGAGGGTTGGAAACGCTAACTTCACCAAAGGACTTGGTATTTATAGAGGGAAACACCCTTCCGCATGTCAATCACAGGGCAACACGTGGCAAGGAGCGTACTCAGAAACACGTGTCATGCAGAGATGAGCGGGCATGTAATGATATCTTTTTATCGAAAATAGTACCATTTCTGTGAATAGCCGTCATCTGGGGCTTTGTGAACCGCCATCAGAGAAGCAACCGTCACATCAAGGGCATCAACTTGACCCCGTGCGTCGGATCCAACTCTACTTCCTTATGTCCCGCACATGCTCAGAACATCAGAATTAGGGTACTTTGTGTTGGGTTAATGGTCCAACAGGGATTGGTCCATAAACCCTATTAAGGCCCTCCCTACGAACGTCCCCAAAATCATTAGCGAGGTGGGATACCTTCTACGGATCATGGCGAGGTTCGTCCCCAACAGAACCAGCCCACATCCTTAAAGGCCTAGGTGACACACATATCCAAGGGCAAATAGGTACCTTGGTCCAAGGGTAATACGGGACGTTCGGGACCTAGCACTCTGGACCATACCAACCTAGGAGGCAAGCTCATGGCGATGCTCATCCCCACAGCTAGGCGGGAAACCTAGATTCTGACGGGAAACACATTTAATGCAGAAGGTTTGGTTGTTGGGACCCTAACCACCCACAGCTCGCCACATCAGAGTGTCTAACTACCCATTGGCGGTATAAATAGTACTTCCTCCGTCCCATTTAAAGGTTCTCGTCTACTATTCTTCGGTCAACGTGCATTGTTCTTAATCTTGTACTTTATACATCCAACTTTTATCAAATTTAAATTTTCTTGATCAGGCTTTGTAAGGTTTTAATGTAGTTTTTGAATATGTAAATTTTATTTACTAAAAATATTTCTACTAATGACATGGATTAGTTAACTTTATGATCAGTCAAACATCGTAAACCGCGTGGGAACCTTTAAATGGGACGAAAGGAGTAGCATTTATTTCATTGTAAAGGAGTGACAACTTAGCACTCTAGCATTTTAGCAATTATATCAGCTCGTATCATAGCTTTGTACGTACGGCCTCAAGCCGTGTAACGACTTTCTTGGGTTACGTGTTGGGCCTTTCTTGCTTGTTTCACCATCTAAATCACTAAAATATGCATTCGAAATTCTTGGGTTACGTGTTGAGTCTACGGATTGAAGGAATAAACCTCAACCGGAACGAACATTGTATTTTGTATTGTTCTCTCCAATTATTAGTTGCTTTCCATCTTTTTTATTAATAGTTTGTTAGTTTGATTAATTCAATTATTTGCATCTTAAATAATAACAGACACGTGATTTTTGAAATTTACTAAATATGTTATTTATGGGTATATACAATAGTACAATAGAAATCATCTCATATATGATCAAAACAACAGGGAAATGCACAAACACGTGTGCATATACTTTCTTATGCTTATAGAAATAAGTTACTCCTATTTAAGATTATTTAAGTGCGGAGTATGTTTTTCTCTCTTTATAGAAGCAGGTTGTCCTTATTAAAAGTTTTCTTCTCTAAGGATCCCAATGCATTTTTTATGGCTTCAAGTCTTATGTAGGTAATTTCTTTTATGACTAACTATAACACATGACAACTTGATTAATTTTTTTCACAAAAATCAAAGCTGAGACACTATAAACTCTATATTTAAGTTTTATTTGGAAGAATGTGGTTTATATTAAAATAACAGAACATAAGCAGGATACAAAACGATAAAAAGAGATCTGTTTGGTGTCCCCTTTCGAACAAGACTTATAATTTATCACCTCCGTAGAAGCAATTAGATTCGTTGATCCTGTAATCGATTTAACTGAGCCAATAACAGACAAATCAGACTTCTCATCATATGTCTTAAGTTCTAAAGTTTTTCTGCTACGAAATAACAACACAACCAAAACATATAGTTCAGAATAAAAACACAATATAAAAATAGAACAAACTAATCACATACATATGATATAATTTAGGGAAAAATAATAAAAATACCCCAAACTTTGAAGGGGTGTGAGGTAAACACCCTAAACTTGTATAAATAATTTAAATACCCCAAACTTTATATAAAAAGTTATTTTTGCACCATTTTCATGTATTATTTCTTTCAAAAATGTAAATTTGTTAGGGTTAATTGTATAATTTAAAATAGCAAATTGAAAGTGTTGTAATTATATAAATTGGGAGTAACATTATTTGTTTCGCAATGGAAGTTTAGAATGTTAATTGTGTCTTCATTAATTCTAAAATATTTTAAATTATGCAATAAACACCATAAATTTACATTTTTGAATGAAATAATACTCACTATGGTGCTAAAGTAACTTTTTATATAAAGTTTGGGGTATTTAAATTACATATGAAAGTTTGGGGTGTTCATCTCACACTCCTTCAAAGTTTGGGGTATTTTAATTATTTTCCCTATAATTTATCGATTTTTTACTTAAATACGATAAGTGATATTGTATTCTTGTGTGTATAAAATACATATATATACATACATTAACAAACATGAATGATAGAATTATCACATTTAATCATACGTAGTACGAAGTATATGATAACTAATCACTTGACTTCATTATGTTATAAATATAAATATTAATAGAATTTAGGTATATATACAAACATATATAGTCTTTATATGAATTTACAACTTCATTTCTTTTTATTCGTGGCTAAAGTTAAAGTACTTATATCGTTTAGAAAATTAAAGTTAAAAAGTGAAGTAATGTTTGGCGACTCTAGACGGCCTAGGTAGCCGATTAGGCGCTATGGGCGGGCAACTAGGCACCATAGGCGGCCGACTAATTCACCTAGACGAAAAACGAATTAGTCGGAGCACCTAGACAAAAATCGGGACATCCGCACCGCCTAGCCTAGGCGGGGACTAGTCGGACGCCTAGAACGATTTTTAGAACAAAAACCCAAACAAACTCGAACCCGCATATAAACCTCACACTTGTCATCAAATCAGTTATCATCCCATCTAACAAATATCCCCAAATAATTCTCAATTCTCCTAGGAATTCCTAAATTAGAATAGTCATACGACACATTATGCACTTGCACCCAAAACTCTGCCGAATGCAAGGGGATCTTAAGAGGGATATCCCCTTATTTTATGGCCATTAACATCAAGAGATTCACATCAAACAATCAAGATCCATTGTCCAGAACAAATTCATGTAAACAATACTCCGTATGTAATATGCCGATCACCGGAAATGTTTTCACACTCCTTTCCTCTGTACCAGCGACGCCTTCATCATCATCATTATCAAGCACCAACTCGTTCGCCGCTGATCTTATTCGCAAACCATCGTATTGACCTTTGAGCTGTTCCATCTGATCTATAGCTTCTGGCACCGTATCCTTGCTTGCGTTTGTAGCCATAAAAACGATACTCAACGGCTGACTAAGAAAACCGCACACAGGCTGGGCCTCTGGTGCGCACGAGAAAAAGGCTAACCATCATTGGGCCGACTGAGTCACCGTGATTAACATCCTCCCAAAAATCATGTCAGGTCGGGGTATGGGGGGCTCCTATGGTGGGAGATTCCACCTTTTGGATCAAGAAAACCGCACACAAGTGACACATAGAAATAATATAGTTTGAAAAAGTAGTGAACTACCAAAATTCAAATTAAGAGAGTGTTAATGTTTTATAGACTACTGAATGAATTGAATTGAATGAACTAGTATTAAACTAAAAAGTAAAAACTTTCTAAACATTTACACGTATTAAAACATCTAATTAAAGGTTGCATGGCGAAACTTTTTTCGCTAGTGTAGCATGGTGATTTTTTTCATAGTGTAGGGCTTTGCGACTAATTTTTATTCAAAAAGAATTCATAGGTACATACATGATGATATTTGAATATATTACATTCTAAGTTTAGACAATGGAAAAATAATTTTGGTTTTATAATTGTAAGTGTTTTAGAAAAAAGTATTGATACATTAAATCGTAAGAAATAGCAAATCAAAGAAAAATTATTTGAAAAAAAAAGATGATATATAACATTTTATCAAATTATTTGAAAATAAAAAGTTTAAAAGGTGCACAATCACCAATGATTTTTAAATAACTCTTGCCATATTTAATCACATGAATCTTATCGGTACAAGTAATTGATTTTTGAATTGAAAATTTTGTTTACCAAGAAAGGTTTTCGTGACTCATGAGGAGTTTTGCTAATATTACCATACTATGTTTGAGATTTTTTTAAGAATAATATTATTGCTATTTCTTATATATGGTGCATATTAAATTTGTATTCATGCCTAAAATAAGTTAAACTTTATTATTTATACAATAAATTATTTTTAAAAAGTAAGAAGTAAATGAATTTTGTAATTTTGAATTTACTTCATATGATCTAAAAATTATTTAACTAGTGTGTCTCGTATTTAATATTGTTTGATATTTTACAAATTGAGTACTAATTATCTAATAAATTAAAGATAATTAAACATTTCAAAACTATGATTTTTTATATAATAGGTATCCTAAGTCTTAAACAATGAGTTGTTCTGTTGTTTATTTGTTTAAGTTATGTAAATTATTTTAGATATTTCATCTTTTAACTCTACAATTAAGTATGTAGTATTACATAATGTGTGACTATGTATTAATTTTGAAAACTAAAAGTTAAGGGGTTGAACACATAAATCTAATTAAAATACAAAAATTTATGAAAATATTATATACATGGTAGAAAAATTTGAAAGTTCGAGGGAAACCGTTCACAACTCATCCATCACTTGGATCAATAGAAAAAAAGGGATTGGATTGCCAAGGGCACAAGTGTCAAGACAGGGAAGGAAATTTGGGACATCTCAGTGCGAGATAGACTGCGCAGTCGTCCTTGGGAGCAATGGTAGGGACATAGGCAATCTCATCGCAGCCGTCCGTTCGGTGACGCTTGAAATCAATCGTAGCCGTAAACACTGCTATGAAGAGTATCAGATGGTTAATCGCATACTTCTGCCCCACACACTGGTGGGGACCAGCCCCAAATGCCAGAAAGTTCCTCCTATAAACCCGGTCCTCTTGCCTTTCGTCCATAAACCGGTCTGGGTCAAACTTTTCCGGTTCGGGAAACCCCTGAAACGACGAATCAAATACCGATGGGAATACGATGGTTCCCTTGGGAATAACATAATTCTCCGTCAACCGGTAATCCTCTCCGGCAATGTGCGGCACCAATGTCGCCGGGGTTCGGAATCGAATAATCTCACGCGCCACCGCCTCCACGTACCTCATTTCCCTGAGCTGCTCCGCGCCGATCGGCTGATCCGATTCGGGCGACCAATATCTCTTCACTTCTGTTCTAACTCTCTCGAGAACATCCGGATGAGACTCCAAGAGCGCCACCGCCCACACCAGAGCAGAAGTGGACGCGTCTTGAGCGGCGAAGAGGAAGTCGAATAGATGCCCGCCGATCTCCCGGTGGCTATAGCCGAAACCAACATCGCCGCCGTTCTCCTTCGCCTCATTGATTTCCCTTATAGCGTCTTGCATCCAGAAATCAATGAGGCAAGTAGCATCTTCTCCCTTTTCCATCTTCCTCTGACTCTGCTCGGCGCACACCGAAAGCGTGTCCACCAGCCTGTCCACCGCCAGCCTTGCGTTTCTGAAAGCGAAACCCGGCAGGTCGATCGGAAGTTTCATCAATCCGACATTGAAGTAGTTGTAGTCCACATTGAACCTCCGCCGCGCCTCCCCGCTTAAATACATCCCTGCGAAAACAGTCTGGGAAGTTTCCAGGTTCATGTCTCTGCAGAGAATGCGGAGTGGGATTGGCTGCGACGGCGCATTGGAAGACATCTCCAGCCAGGACGCCAGGTGTTTGATAATAATCCTCTGTTGAATACTAGTGTAGGCTGCCAGCGCTTTGGGGGTGAAGTTTGGGGCGATTCTGCGGCGGAGGTCTTTGTGTTCCTGACCGAACATATAGATTAAGTTATGCTCGCCGAACAGCTTCTTCCCGAATGGGTGCCCAATGAGGTGGAAAGCATCTGGCCGGACATTGGAGAACACCTTGTGGGAAAGGTCTGTTGAATGGATGTAAAGAATGAAGCGGCCGATGATGTAATTCACTGAAATGCCATGACCACTTGACTTTGCTAGAGACGACTGGACATCCCAGAACTTGGTCGGATTGGTGACCAAAGTGATCACACTTCCGATGAACGGGAACACCAAGGCCGGCCCGGGAAGAAACCGCTTCTTCTTAAGGTAAGATATCTGTTCATGAAGAAGGACAAGAGCTAAAAAGGAGATCAAATATGGTATGAATGGTGATATCACTGCCCATTTGGAGTTCTCCATCTCAAGGCTTTTTTCTTATTAAAGAATCAATCTTTCTCCCTCCCAAATTTCAACTCCCAAACTTCTCCTTCCTTCGATCTTGAATCTTTATGGCGGGTTTTATTTATAGGACAGGAAACAGGTAGGATGTGCGTAAAGGAGAGAAAGGTCAAGCTAACGAGCTGTTAAGACTTAAGACTGTTAGGTGGTTGTCAATATACGCAACTCAGGAAAAAAGAAATCAGGAAAAGGGTAGGCCGGCAACCTGTGAACGTGGTGTTGAATAATGGCAACCAAACATGAATTGCTTTGTGCGAGAAAAACGTGAAAAAGAGAAGAAGAGGAATTGAATGCTGGGACTGGTTTTCTCCCATTGGCTGAGCTAGTGCGGTGCGCTGACCGAATTGAAATGCTTGTCACCTTTCAAGCATCGGAATATGGTTGAGTTCCGAGGAGAAAATGAAAGATGCTAAAGCTGGAATGGGTGTTTGTGTTGTACCATGAGGGGTTGGCAACGAAGCACGCTGTCGGCCTAACAAGGATGCGATGTGTACGTTTCTGATCATATTTGCAGTAGACTCCCACGCGGGTTTCCATGCCTCGTATCTACCATATTTATTAATGGAACTCTGGCAGTGGTTAGACATACTCCCTCCCTCTCGTAAAGAAGTTGACTTACACACACATTAGAGGTTTGTTTTGACTTTTCAAGTATACCCTTACTTTATGTCAAATCAAACAAAAAGTGGGTAAAAAGTAAGGGTAGTTGTGACTTTTTGGTTAATAGTGGTTTCCTTTTATAGAAATGATAACTTCTTTTTGGAACATTCATAAAAGGAAAGTGAGAACTTCTTTACGGGACAGAGGTAGTACTTGTGGATTGAAATTGACAAAATATGGGTATTTGTGGCCTTTTGAGGTGAGGCCATGTCCGGTTAACATGAACTATTACATTGGTTGGCTCCCAAGCAGGAAACCAGTTAAAAGAACTTAATTATATCTTGCTATTTTTTGTTCCAAAAGAAGGTGTCCTTTATTATACTAGTACAACTACAACACACACAATTTGTGTAGTACGAGTAGTACAATACAGTAGTACCAATATGTGTATTCAAAAACTTTCACATATGTATAATTTCTAACATTCGGTAGTTGAGTTGACAAATTTTATACTTTAGTTTCTTCTATAGCATTTTATTTGTATTTTTGCAATCAATATGTCAAGAATTAGGATCAATGTAACATTTTTTGCACTCAATATGACATTATTGTTTGATTATGATGATATGACTTGATCATAGTAATTTACTTTGGCGATGACATTGCAGCGTGATGATGACAATATAATGTCATAATCATGACATTAAATTCTAGGCTTGGGATGGTGTGATAGTTGAGTGGAATGGCTACAATATTTAAGATAACACAAATGTTATTGTCACCTCAATTTGTACCTCATTTTGTACTCCATCCTTATATTTGTGGTTCTCAAAAGCACTTCATTAAAATGGAGCAATTCATTTAATGTGTTGGGTTTTTGTGAACCACAAATATAGGAAGGGTGTACAAATGAGGTACCAAATGGAGTACCTCTAGCAAAACTCATTTGGGGGATAATTTATGTGGTTATGCGAACTTTCTTTTTTGAATATATTGTGAATCTTTTTTTTAAATATGCTCTTGATTTGATGTTACATATCATGATGCTAAGTTGAATTCAGTTTTACTATTCGGTCATCAACTTTATTCATTTCTATTCTTATGTTTTGAGAACCAACAATCCATTTATATTAATAAAATTCATAGTTTAGTTCCTAACTAAATAAATGTTGCCTTCATTCCATTTCAAGGATCTTTGTGCGATTTACATTGATTGACTACTAATAAAATTAACCTTTGTTGATGATGTATAGATCAGTTTTCATAATTTAGATATAGTCATATAGATATTTAGAAACTATGTAAGAAGCTCTATTCAATCACAAAAATTTTAAAATTACTACTCCCTCCGTTCCCCTATAATTGTCCCATTTTTTCATTTTTGGGTGTCCCTTTACTATTGTCTCATACCATATTTGCTAACATTTGTGTGTGTCTAATTCATTCTTACTTTATTTCCACTTTATCAACTCATTACCAATCGCATAATTCTACTTTTATTAAAAACCACACAACACCCTTCCGTACCAATATTAGGGGGACAGAGGGAGTACAACTTATTATGTAGATAAATATTAAAACTGAGTTAAGTGTACTATGTGAGTAATGTCTAGTAAACTTAAAGAAATAATGATCCTAATATTATTACTTCCTAGCTTTTAGTTTCCAATTATATGAGTAGATATTGAGATAGACCAAAAAGTGGTTATATCAAGTATGAATGTATGTATCAAAATAATAACAGCATATAATTATTAAAACAACCCTAATTTTGGCATCTCCTATAATTGGCTTCTCTCTGCTCTCCACCGCACCCATCAACTCTCCCTCACATCAAACATCTTCACCACTCCAATTGTGATGTGCATTTGCAACAGATTTATCACACACCATCTCCTTCATTCTTCCGCTTCTACCCCTTTCACTACAAAAAAACACGCCGTTTGTCACGGATTTTTGTCACGAATAACGGCCGTGACAAAGTTGTCACGGGCTTTGTCACGGAATATTAGGATTTGGTCCGTGACAAATGTACTCCGGCGACCGGTTTTTTACTCCGGTGAATACTTTTTTTGCTTCCGGGCATTTGTCACGGACTGTTCCGTGACAAAAACGTTATCACGCCCTGGTGTCACGGATTTTTTCCGTGACAAATCCGTGACAAAAAATCATTTGTCACGGATTTTTTGAACTACCGTCCGTGACAAAATCCGTGACAAACGACGTGTTTTTTTGTAGTGTTTCCTCGAATCCGAGGGCTAAATCCCTATTTTCAATTAGATTTTGCTGCCACTTCCTTGCATGGGCGGAGACAGGGGGTTGCCAACCTAGGCCATGGCCCACCCCAAATTTAAAAAATGGCTTAATTTTTAGTGTAAAAAATTCTGTTTAAATTTTTTTCTAAAAATATTCTTTGTACCGGCCCAGTCCGGTCCAGTGCCCTGGCTCCGGCCCTGCTTCCTTGGGTTCCAGTGACATGAATAGAGGCTAGGGTTCATTGGTGTCCATGGCGACTAGGATTCACTAACGTAGACAACACTTTGGGTGGAACTATGGAAGTCACTGAAATCTCTGTCTTCTTCCATTGAGATGGTCTAACTCGAACTGTGAGGATGAGTTTTAGAGTGGAATGGTGTATGAGTGTATCACTCTTATTCACTCGTTTGACGCACGAGTTAGTGGGGATTGGGGTGGTGCAGTCATTGTCCCATCGACGGAGTCACTATCAATACGGCGGAGTCACTGTTTTTGTGGCGGAGTCACTACTAGCCGGGGCAGTCATGAACATGGTGTCTGTTTAAGCAAGAATTAAACTAATCTAAAATTATAATCAAAGAGAGGGCTCGTGCAAAAGATCAATAAAATGAAATCTGAATGATAAGAATTTTATATAATCCGATAGATATTTGTGTATCAATAAAAGAATGATCTGATTAGCCTCCATCCTCCTATTTATTCTAACGCTTTATCCCTTGGACTCCAGCCCAACTGTCCGGCGAATGAGCCCCTCTTCCTACTCATGCGGAGGTTGTTATTTACTCTTATTCTCCCGCACGCAGTTAGGAGTTCTTTTCTACAACTTATCTTCCACGTTTGCTTGGCCTTATCTGTCACGCCCCGGACCTAGCCGGACACGTCAACAACCCGCCGTACAGTACGAATAGTCAACCGTAGTCCAACTCATCCATACTATACAAGGCGTCATGAATATCATTCACACATAGTACATCCATAAACAACCATAATGTAAAACATTCATTTAAAACAGCGGAAGCATTATTACAATTGTTCAAGCCACACTTGGCATAACTAGGCATACAAGCCCCCAAAATAATTGCAAAAAATAATGTCCATGAGCATTGTTATCATTATTTTGAAAACAGGAAACGGAAGAAGCACGAACCACGTCTTCTCCTTTGAATATCCCCGAAGCAACGAGCGCCGGTAGCAACCTTCAAGTTCTACCTGAAACTGTGAGGTGGCCTCCCCCGTGAAGGGGAGGTCAGTACTTGGAAATATTTGACAAGTACAATAGCAACTATACTAAGTATAATCAACGTTTTAATTTCCGAGACCCTCAAAATAGGGTGATATCATAATATAAATAATAATTTATATTCCCCACTTATTATCTTCATAATAAGTAAATTTATTTATTTGTCGGCACACGGCCCTTCTTATATATCCTTTTTCATTTATCGTTTGCACAACCCAACCCTTGAGTCCTATTATTTCTACGGGACTTGCTACCGCTGTCCGAGACCTCATGAGGCTCCCGGTTCGGACTCCAACATCCCGCCCCTGGACTCGTACCCATCATCCCGTAGGAAGGTAAGGCCCTTCGGGGTCCTATCTTATGTGTTACCGCTACCGGAACCTAGTTAGGTCTCCGATTCGGATTCCACCCTAACCCGTGATCACGATGTAAGTCCATGCTATCCAACCCCGCTCTCTAGAGTCGGGAAGGGCCATGGTCCTTACTATTTCCATAATTCGACCGGCTATCCACAAGGACTACCGAACACACCCGTAGGCCAATCCTATACTTAGGATCAATTTATTATTTACTTTATCTTGGGTATCCCTTAAGGCCTACCCCTTAGTATAACTTAGAGTTCATACTTTCCTACCTTTAAGCATCTCTTAAGACTACTTAAGGCATAACATTTCACAATCCAACCTTAGGATCAATCTTAACAACATTTAATCTTAATGTCCAACTAGTATCTAAATACTAGTCAAATTAATATCAACAACCAAGTTTTCAACTCATAGTCATATAGACAATTCCAACTGATTTTCCTTTGAAAATATCATTTATCTCAATGTTCAAATATCACTTTTAATCACTCATATATTCTAATATGAAGAAAAAGTATATTTCACCACGTGTTTCATCATAATTTCCACTTTCAAGTCAACATACTCATAACACATGAACATACACAATTCATTCCTAAATTTGTATATCATGCTCCTTTTTCTCTAGACATTTAGTCTTTTCATTTTTAGGCATTATTAATCATTAATAATCCGTAAAAACACATTTAATTACCTTCGGTAATCTCATGAAATTAACTCACTAATTATAAGCAATATAGTCAGCCATCCTCACCTTATGAAGTGCTGAAATAGTTGCCTTTGCTAAGCCCCTCGATCAATCCCCGTTCTAGGCCGATTGGAGATGAAAAACTGAGCTGCTGGGCAAAAGCCGGGCGGCTTTCGCGAAAGCCGGGCGGCTTTCGTGTTCTGCAGAAACGGGCAGCTCCCTTAAAGTGGCGGTTTCCGGCGATTTCGACTCCTATCGATTCACCAACTCTTCTAAGTTAAATACCACCACTTTATATCAATATTCTACACTTTTAAACGTGTAGAACATCATGTTTAATCCACCATATGATTTCTTAAAAATCATACACCATAAAACTAGTTACAAGAAGATAATTGAGTTCTTACCTTCTTCCTAGCTAGTTTTGCAACTGGAATTTCCTTCCTCTTGCTTCCTCCAAGCTAGGACTTTGTTAGAGACTTTGCTGGAGCTTATCTATCCTCTTGGTTGTTCGTATGGTGTCAAATGGAAGGGGAGAAGTATCCATCTTAATCAAGGCCTAAAATAATGCTTATGAGAGGACATGGGGTGTATGAGTTGTCTCTACCCATCCCCTCACTTAATAATCCGCACACACACATTTTCTATTGTCTCCTCCAGCTCTCCCCTTGTCTACTAGAGTCTATAGAAACGTGGGGTGGCCCCCACTTAGGTGGGAGGTCATCCCGTTATGTCCCGGTGTGTACAATCGGCCCCGAAAGTTGTATTTCTCGGACTGTTTTAATCATATTTTATTTTATCGGGCCAAATAAAATATATCACGTGTTCCTAATAATTATGGGCCTTTAGAATAGATGTATATTCCCCAACATTAATTTAGGAGTCTCCGAAACTCTTTTCGGGCTGTTATCCGTTAAATTACCAATACCGGTAATTTGGGCCCCGTTTGACCAACCGGTCAACTCCATGCCTTTCTTATGGCCCAAATAAAATATCCACCACCATATACATATTATCTAGACCAAGATGCATATAATATGTGGTTCGGGAATTATC